AGGTAGCCCTGTTTCTAATGATAAGAAAAAGAGGCTCAAGGTTATTTGTGCTGCAAGAATCTAATTACAGTTCAATGTGACTCTGAGCCACGTAACCCTGAGTCAACTGGAGTGAGACTAAGTTTTAACTAGAAAAGCCATTCTCCTTGCCCTAAAGCCCAATACTACCTACACTGCACTTTTCTGATGTCTGCACTTATAGTTCAAAGAGTCATAGATTTAGATTTTACCAAAATATGCCATTTGTATCTTTGAGATGTCTTTTAAATCTGTTGCCTGTCTAGAGGAGCCAAGATCTGAAATAAATGGTATCATTTGGGTTTCAATTACCTTTATTCTGAGATACAGACACTTTTGTAGACCGCTGATTAATAAAATAGAAAGCCCCTCACACAAACTAAAAATACATACACTTTGTTTCGTCTGTCTGTGCTTAGTCATTCGAAAAGACTAGGCTGAGAAGATATGGCAAGATGAGAGTCATGCAATTCCCTAATGCCTTTAAACTTTTTTAGAAGAATAAAGTGCAGTGCAGTTTCAATGGGGTAGGATTAGCCCTCTATTCCTGCTTACCTCCTACAGTAAAATAGGAATGTATTACTGCAAAAAGACAAATGCTGCCCGCCAGGACATCACCAAGAAAGTTCATTTATTTTCTCCATGTTTTAAGTAGGAAAATGTCTTGGGATGTGCAAAAGTAAAGACCCTGACAGACGTCTGACCTGCTTGTCCAGAAAAACAGCAAAGTCACAGAACCAACAAAATCCAAAGCACAGCTAATTTAAAGGAGATAGAGTGAGTGGCTATTTGCCTGGAGGGATTTGAGTTTATTGGTAGTCCCATCAGCCTCCCATCTGCCTTGGTACTAGTCTCCCGACTTCTCTGGCTTGGTATTTATGACACTGGACAACATCAAGATGTGGGAGGAATATTGCTTCCTGAGGGCATAGTTAGAAGCCATGGCAGTTCCAATTTCCTCGCTTAGCCTATCTTCCTAGCCATTTAGGGAGAGCTTGGTATCTGGAAATTTTTGTGTCCAGACTGTTTTAACAGCGAAAACTGCCAGACCTTAAAAGGGTATCCCTTAACTCTCCCACACAATTATTCTATCTAATTGGCATATCGTTAGTGGAGTCACACCAAACTAGAGGAATGCTCCCATTTTTATTCCATGGGCTCTGATGAGTGGGCAGGAAGTTTCCCTGGAGAGGAGGGTATCTGGCTGCTACTTCTTAAAACCTGTGTAGGTGTAATCCAGGTGAAATGGAGGGAATGTAGTGAAAGGAACTGCTCCATGCTAGCTCTAGAATATGAAAAAGCACGATGCATTCAGAATTCCGCAAGCAGTTGCATGTCACTTGCTGGTTGAGAAATTTCTGTGCATTGGACTATGCTACAGGAGAGTGGCAATCAAAATTCTTGAAGTCAAATAATTTTTTTTTTATAATTCAGAGTGATTTTTAGGAGATTTATATATAGTAGAATTAGCATCTGTTAATTTACAATATTCAAAATGGAAAGATAATATAATTTTTAATATTGTTCATCAGTGTCGGTCTGCTAAACTATATTATCATCATTGTATCTAATATAGTTTTTGAAGTGAATTTGATTTGTGCTATTAATAACAGCACCTGAGTGAGTTTAAAGCAATGAATGGCTTATCAGCTGGCTTTTCATTACTTGAGCTAAAAGACCTGAGATAAGCTCATAGTTTAGAGATTCACAGTTCAGGATCGGGTGGTCCTATAAGTCTGGTGTATAGTAGATGCTGGCCGTGGTGGAGTGGATGAGGAGGAATGATCACAAGGTGATCCAGAAAGCAGAGAGAGAGAAACTGGGCAGAACTTGGCTAAAACAACCAAGTCTCTTGCAACACCACTTTCTGTGGTCAGGCCCCCAATGACCTAAAGACCTCCCAGCAAGCTGACCTCTGAGACACCATAATTAGATCAAGTCTTCATCTACAATCCATCAGCTCTTCAAATTGAGACTTCAAATTTTAAACATCTGCATGAGTTTGGGGAGCCAAGTCCTGGTCAACCCACAGCACATGGATATGGGAGGTGTTATTCAGTGAATATGATGCCCATGTAGATTTAAAGACTCCTCTATTCCCTAGGTTTAGAGCCTAGAAAGAGAGAGCAGAAGCCTGGAAAGCCATCAAAAGTTTTAAAGAAAAGAATAATAAGATTGGGGGTTGGCATTGTGGCATAGTAGGCTAAGCCTGAACCTGTGACAACAGCATCTCCAACAGGTAAAGGTTTATGTCCCGGCTCTCCTTTTATGATCCAGCTCCCTGCTAATGGCCTGGGAAATCAGTGGAAGATGGCCCAAATGTTTGGGCCCCTTCACCCATGTGGGAGACCTGGAAGAAGCTCCTGGCTCCTGGCTTCAGACAGGCTCAGCTCCGGCCGCCATGGCCGGTTAGTAAATCAGCTGACAGGGGAGTGAACCAGCTGATGGAAGACCTTTCTCTCTGTCTCTCCCTCTCTTTGTCCATAACTCTACCTCTCAAATAAATAAATAAAACCAGAAAAAAAAAAGGAAAGAGAAAGTGTTCTACACTAGGAATCAGATCATCTATAAGAATTAGGACATCACCCAGATGTATAACTTAGGGTAAATCTTTTCAGCTCAGTGGGCCTCAATTCCCTCATCAGTAAAATGGATCTTGAATGCAATAATAATTTAGGATGAAAGAGTGACATTGTGTGTGTCATGATGGCTACCAGCTGCTCACCAGGGACCATTTGACTGTTCTGCTGGGCCAGGCAAATAGGTGTCTCCTCGCTCCCCAGATTTCAAGTGTTTGTGTCCTGCAAGGGAGCATATCTTGGGTGTGAAGAACCTTTCACAAGAGATCAAGTGAATTTTCATCCAGGGCCTACTTGACCATTTGTAAAGTCTGTTCCAGCTCTGACATTTTTCTGAATCTGTTTTTTCTTTTTTCTTTATCACCTCTCTCCCTGCTTATTGTCAGCCAAATTGTTAGAGAAAATCAACTTGGCGCAGAAGTTAAGCATTCTTTGCTGTATTAAGAAAGAATCAAAATAAATGTTTAGTTAAAAGAAGTAAGAGGACATCCATCTCCCCTCACGCTGGTTCACTGACGCCTCTGGGCTCCGGTTCCACTCTAATTGTCATTTATATTTTCCAAGAAGTTTGCTTGGAACCAAAGAGGCTTTGGGCATTTAGCAGTACACACAAGGCAGGCATCTAATTCAGTCATGTCACAGAAAGTTCCCTCCAAGGGCAATCATAAGACGATGGTTTTTCAAGACACAACTAAGGCTTCCAGAGTCACCCAGGAGCATATACAACCCTTCAGGCTTGTGATAAGCAGTATTCTCCAGCAATGGCTGTGACTTGGAAGTGCAAACTTCTTAACAGAGACCCGGCTCCCTGGCAATAAGACCTGACTGCCAAAGTTGGGGCATAGAGTTCCTGCTCATCAGCTTTGCTTTTTTGTAAAATTTTCATCCACAACTCTTTTTATTTTAACAAATTTAAACAGAAAGTGGTAGAGTTTGACTGAAAAGTGGAAACTCATGAGGAGTGCCAGCTGAGATTAACTCATACACAGAATGCTCTGGCAATGGTAGGAAGTCATCTGAAAAAAATAACATATTCAGAAAATGGTTGTGGACAATATAATTTTCAACATACTGCTGATTTAGAAAATATGAAGCTAGCAAAGTGTGCTTTAGCAATCTTAATGCTTGGAGAATGTCACTCATCTAACCAAAAGATGATAAGACAAGAGCTCATTTAGCCCATTTTCTCAAGTAAGAGCCAGTAATGCTCATGGCTTGGGCACCGCATGTGGTTTCTCTGCCTGGTATAGACAGTCACTGTGATCTCTAACCTCCATTCTGCCACTAACCTGCTTAATCAACCTGAGGATATCACTTCTTCATGGGGGATGGAGAGCAGCGCCAAAGATCTTTGCTCCGGTAGTACTTGTTGGTGGAAACTCAGGGTCTCATCAAAGACATAGTAATTAGAATAAAGAGGAGAGTAGGTGGTACTGAAAGGATTTATGGGCATTGTATCTATACTAACTACAGTAGGGCTTCATGGGAACAGAGAGAGAACTAGGAAACTTGTCAGAGACCAACTCTCTTTCCCTCTCTCTTTACAAAAAAAAATCCATTTTATTTGAAAGACAATGAGATGAAAATATAGAGAGACCTTCCATTTCCATTCACTGGTTCACTCCCCAAAGACCTGCCAACTGCAGGGGTGAACTTAGTCTGAAGCTAGGAGCTCACAGTTCGATTTGGGTGACCCACCAGGGTGGCAGGGACACATGAGCCATGACCTGCTGCCTCCTGGGCAGTGAGTTGGAATTGGAAACATAGTCAGACCTTGAATCCAGGCACTCCAACATGGGATGCAACCATCCAAATTTGGATTATATCTGCTTCACCAAATTCTTGACCCCCTAGCAGTGTCTATATCTATCTCCATCTCCACATGGGTTCTCATCACCATTTCTCCCTGTAAATCTGCTCTTATATATGCTTCCTCTTGTATTCAAGTTTTCCCACTAGTTCTATGATCCAAACACATTGTCTGAATTACTCTAGTATTGAATCTAAGGTCATAGAATTAAGCTGTTTACAGAGGGATCCAGATTTCCTATCTCTCACCATGCAGGAGAAGAACGGAATTAGTATGATCACTGAATATTGTAGGATCCAAATGATATAATGTGCTCAGCCAGTTCCTAGAAGTGGTGGCAACTGGGTCAATGAATTATTGTCACCTGAATCCAAGAGAAAGTCATCGGAGTATGAAAATGGGCACTTTGTATCTCTCTTTCTGAATTTTGCATGCCATGCCCTGTTCAAATGGGCGCTTATTAAACATCCTCTCACCTGATTAGGGTTCATCTGGTGTAAGAAGCATGTTGAAGAAACAAATGCACGTGCAGGAAGAACTCAGCATGTTAAAAATGCTTGGGAGTCAAGAAAGACTCAAATGAGGCTGTTACATAGTGATACAGATTTATATTTAATACAACATGTGTGATCATGGTTGTAGATACATATTTGGTGCTTTATTTATCACAAAGCATGAGTTGCATAGTACAAATGTATTGAATACAAAAAATCAGAAGAGGAATATAGTTATCTCTAATTTAAAATTATGAAATAAATGCTGGCAAATGTATCCATAGACCTTTCATTTCTCCTTGCTGTCTTCTGATAGCAAATTACAAGTTGTTTCCCAAATTCTGATACTATATAGCAAAAAACAAGAAGTTTCCCCAAGTTCTGGTACTGCATAGCATAAAAAGAACTTCTGGCAAGAGTTACTTCGATCACAGTCTCCACTGGCAAATTTCTCAGCATTTCTCTTTTTTAATTTTGATGCCTTAACCTCTACATTTTCCTACATAAGAAGCAAATGTTTTTAATGTGCTTATTGCAATTATAATTCAAGCTATATAGAGAATATTGTAATTAAAATGATATTTAGACTCATCTATTGTAAATACTCCCTACTGCAGAGAAGAGGAAGAGAGGTAGAGAGGTGAGATGGAAGGAAAAACATCTCAGGTAAGAGAGTAAGTAACTCGGCAAGGCTTATTAAGCTAGATATGAATGTTAAGAGGTTGATTTGTAGCTACTCTACTAGAAAAATAAGATTATTATTAAACTGTGATTTGAGGATAATAGCCTAAACAATTTTATCTATCACTCTGCTATGCATTTCTATTTAAAGCTATGCATACCTCCTCAGTTGGAAGGATTGGTCTTCTCATTTCTAGGATGGTTAACTGATCCTGGGGAAATTCTTTTTGGATAAATTTTGGTCTGGTGAAATGTGTGTTTAACACAAGAAACAGATGCTAAATTGTTAACTGAAGAGCCTTTCACCAAGCAAATAAAAAAAAAAAAACATGTTTGTGTAATACAGTATTCAGAAATCCAGAGAGATCTACAAGTCATTCCGTTGAGATGTACTAAGACTTTATGTCCGAAACCCACATAGAGTTGCCTAGCCCTTGGGTTTGGATGGGTGAGTGTTCTCTCTGCTTCCTGGCACATGCAATCCAAGTGGGAGAAAGAAGATCCCCTTCCCCCAGTTCTTTCTTTTCTCTAGCCAAGACTCTCCAGGACACTAACACAAAATTTTTCATTTAGCCACATTGTGAGTCAAGAGATACTTTGCAAGTCTGGAAGACGACAGCACAAAGAAGTGTGATTTCCAACCAGGCTGAGCTGCTCCCCTAGCAAGTGGATTAATTTCACAGGTCTGAGTACTTGCTCCCTCACCACTTCTCTCCTTTCTCTTCTTTCTCATGACCCACTTTCTCCCAACCCTGCCAACTTCCCAAACAACAGGGGAAGTGACCTACTAATGGGAGCAGTTTCAAGAGTAAAAATCATGTCCCTGAACTCTAACTATCCTTTCCAACGAATCTCAAACTATCAAATTTGTGATGATATAAATGGTTTTGCAAAGCATTAGAACATAATGCTTATTAATTTATCCACTGATCTGTGAATGGTCGTTTGTTTTGAAACTTCTAGATACCTAATATTCCTTTGGGGAAAATTCATAGGTTTGTCATATTCAAATGGATTTTGTACAAAGTGGAGAAAAAAACCTCACTAACCAAGTAAAATGCATAGCTTTGTAGATTCCAAAAATAAAATAGTGTTTTTTATTAAGTGCTTTCCTTTATGCATTAAAAGCTAAAATCTACTCAGAGCATAATTTATATAACAGAGTGTAGGGAAGGGGACACAAAATGTTTCCATACATTAGACTCTACTGATTTGAAAGCATAGTCTCAATTCTGCATTTCAAAAAGTGACATCTGGGAAGAAGTTATCTGTGTGTGTGTGTGTGTGTGTGTGTGTGTGTGTGTTTGAGAGAGAGAGAGAGAGGATGAGAAAGAAAGTGAGTGAGCAAGGGAGTGCAGGAAAGCTGTTCCCATGGATTATCACTGCTTTAACAAATGAACATGAGACAAAACTTGCTAATTTATTCTAGAGTTGCTACTCTCTTTGTCCTGGTCTATTTTAAATCTTCACTTGAGCCCAGTCCCACCTATATTAAACTCAGGTAGAAAATCTTAGGTTATGGGTCAGTCCTTGGGCTAAGCTCTCATAAGTGAGAAGCATAAACTCCTGTTTTCATTGACCACAGTTTGGTTTCACCGCCTCTACTTCCGAAGTCCACTTACAACTGTAGTTACATTTACACAAGGGAGGAAAATGCAAGCACCCCAGGGCTCTTACAGTAGGTTTCATATTTTCCCAGGCCATTTACTCAAGGGAAAGAAGAGATGAAGCGGGAAGAGGGGAAGGGAGTGATAAATAAATAGACATCATAAACTTTTTCCTGGAAGATCACCCCACATTTTCTGATTTCCCAGAATTAAAGAAATGCTATTTTCTTTGTGTTAACCTAGAAATTACTAGCAATTTAGGTTTTTTTCCTTTTCTCTTTTTGTTAAGTTTCAACATACTTTCAAAGAAATTTTCTAGGACAATTTTAATATATTTACTTTCTTATTGGGGGCTGGAATGTTTGCATTTCTTTGGATTTCAGAATTTCTTGTTTGAGTAGTTTATAGGATATGTATACTTCAAATATAAAATTATAGATGATAGGGGATAGATAGACAATATAGATGATAGATTGGTTGATATATGATAGGTTGATTGATAGATGATAGATAATACAATGTCACCCCCTGGAAGGCATTGCTTCTTACATTCTTTTTGCAGCCTTCACAGCACTGTTCTCATAATTCCCTTGCCTGCCATTGACCTCCTGGATTCAGCTCACGTGAAGGTGAAGGCTCTTGTTACCCTCCCCTGACAAGTCTACTCACTTACTTAGGGTGTGCAGTCAATTTGTGAAGAGCTAGCTGGAGTCTTTGCAGAATCAACTATCTGGAGATACGTGGTATCTACTTACCTCTGTGGACACTTTCAAATATCTATGAATTTCAAATAATGTGAACAAAGTATTTGACTTTTAATTAATCTTGAAAAATGTTTTGGCATTCAAAGAAAAATGAATCACCTAGATTCCAGAGTTCCTACCATTTCCGACTGCTTTAGGAAGTCAAGAACTGGCACTTTTTTGTTGTTTTTACTGATTTTGGGCACAATAGATAGATGCTGAGGGAGATGATGCCCAGAGCGTTTTCATTGTTTTTATCTGAGTTCCTTGTCAACCTAACACAAACGCATTCAATGAGAATGTTTTCACGTTTACAATTTTGATGGAGCCTAGCTGTGGACTGCTTGATGAAGGAGCTTCTTTAAAATAGGCAATAGTGACAAATCTGAGTCAATTCAGATGTCTTGCCATTGCTGGCAGCATACACAGTCATTTCAATCTGCTTTCAGAAGGTGAAATGGTGAGTATTCAGGAAGGGAGCATTATCCTTTGAAATCACAAAAATGGGCAAAATCAGCACATGCCCAAAGAAGAGCAACATGGCTGCTTTGCTGCTGATATTCCTAGGAAATGGCTAAATAAATGAGCTATACATGTGGAAAACCAGGAGCATGTGAATTAAAAAGGGAAACAAAAGAAGGAAATTCAAGACTAAGCAATGTTGTCTTCTACTTAAATGTTTTGGATTTTTATTAATACTGTTTTAAAAATATCCTCTTTCTCCTCCAATAACCCCACATCCTAACATTGACTACTTTCATACATGGTTCGGTTTGATTCTGTGTATAGCTAAGTTGTGTAAATCACTACTTTAATCAAATGTACGAAAGACAAGGAAAATTTTCTAAGACTTATAACAGTGAAACACAGAATTAAAAGTTTAAAACTATTAGAAATACCATGACTTATCCATAGTTGTGCATGAGGTGTGTCAGGAATATAAATCTGTGCTTTTCATTTTAGGTACAATTTACTAATGCATAAAGCAAAATAGTGAGGGAACATAGCATTGCAAAAGATCATATTATATTGCAAAAAGCAGAATTCCTTAAAATTTTGTCTCATTTAGAAAGCCTCTACGTATAACCACATTAATTTTTCCAAAAGTAATTTTGCATCTTGAAGGCAATTGTCATTTACAAAAACAATAATAGAGGGACTCATGGAATAATCATTTTAACCTTGACAGTATTTTTCCATTTTAGTATGCAATCCTGATATTGAATATCTCCATGAATACTTTTATTTTATATAATCAGAGTTAGAAATCTGGGGGTTTTATGTTCACAAGGATATCAAATATCTTGATAATTAAAACTTTGGCTTATACCCTAGGGCCATAGATATATTTGTTATGTAGTCCATTGTTGGTCTTAGATCATTGATTTAAAACAACTTGGTAACTTTCTTGTGGGAATAAGGGCAGGAGGTAAAAAGACACAATGAATATGAATGGTGTTTAGTTGATTTTGTATCAACACAATAAATTTGTGATTGTATCTCATTTATAATATCCAAGCTAACATGAAGATGCTCTAAGGGAAAGATTGTATTTTAAACAATGAATTTGCTTTAAAAAGTAAATAGTGGCTTCTTTAAAAATAGAGGGATGATCTCCCTTGGTCAGAAGTAAAACAACAAGTGAGATCAATCAGGCCCCTTTGAATCTGATGTTTTCACATCTGTATTCTTTTTCAGATTAGTGTAAATTGAGATTTATTTCCTAAATCCAGAGATATAATATTTCTTTGCCTTAGCATGGTTTTTCTGTGATTCAGATTGAGTTTGACAAAAGTGTGTGGAATCCAATTAACAATGGGGCAGGAAGGAGAAAGGAAGGAAGAGGAAGGAATTTGGACCCTGTGTAAGCTTCCAAGACAAGGTTGGCAAAAGAATGGGCAACATTCCTTGGGAATTTTCCTGTTTGGGTATCTGAGCAAAGCTGCTATGGGAAGATATGTAGGTTACTGGAAAACACAGGGTTATTATGGAGGAAGAAACTCACTGAGTGCCTTTCATAGCCTGACCAAATTACTACTTGATTAACTCCAGATAAAATTCAGAGCGCACGAAGCGAGGCAGGGAATCTTTCTCCATCAGAGCATGGATTCTCTTCTGGGCCACATCGAAGCTGCTCAGGGAAGGCTCCACCAGGTTCTTCATTGTGATGTCCTTAGTGAAGTGGTCAATATTCACCTGTGGACCAGGAAACAGGGTTACTGAGTCACAGGCAGCAGGAGTTGATGAGGGGGGTGGAGGGGAGGCAGAATTCCTTACTAGTAACAGATATGGAGGAAATCCCCCAAAAGTGAGAAATGTTGCGTCCATTGTATGTGAAATTGGGGATGGCAACTGATGCTCCAATAAATAAATAAATAACTCAGATTATATAATCAAATGAATGTCAGACACCCACCAGGTATCAGATGGTTCACCAGTAACTTACTCATATATATCTTATTTAATCCTGACTACATTAAGATTCTTTCCACACACACACACACACACACACACATATATGCATGTATACAGAGAATTAAGTGGTTTCTTCAAGATCATAGATTCAATAACTGAATTTGAACCCAGAGATCAGATTTCGAATCCAGGTGTAATGATGCCTGTTTCGACAATCTGTACCACGCGTTTGGTTTCATGCCCAGTGGAGGGAATGGAGAGGGAAAAAGATTCTGCCCAGCAGTTCACGACCTTTAATCTGACTGCAAAGGAGCATGCACATTCGATCTTTCCTAAAACAAACCAAGAAACAATATATCTGCAGGAAAATTAATATAGCAGCTAGTGGATACTCATTTATTAAGCCTTTAGTCTGCATCAGGTGCTGGGCTGAAGCCTTTACAAGGATGAACTTACTTAATCTTACAAATCTATGAAGTTGACACCATCCTCCACATTTCTGAGTTGAGGAAACAGAGGCACGGACATGTCATATGATTCACCCAAAATCCTTAGAGGTAGACAGAGGGTTCAGAAGCCCCACGATGTATCTCCAGAACCTGAGCTTTCAATCTGTGTTGGAAGGCACTGTGTCTTCTGGGTCCTGAGTGCTGGACTGCTACATGGCACAATCCCCTGGAGCTGGCTGGCTACACCCTGAAGGAGTTTGCCTGACTGATTTGGAAGGAATATTTATACTCCCCAGTGTATGCTTTCATGACTGTCAAGGAGTCTGAGTATAAAAGATGAAGAAAGAGAATTCAAGCAAGACAATGATTTTAAATCAGAACATTAGAAAATGTGCCAGTTCTCTCCTGAACTGTTAAAGGTCCCTGGCATTGAAAATAGCTATTTGGCTCAGATAATTATGGAACAGTTGAATGTTTATCTATCATCTATCTATACATATATATACATATATATACATATACATATACATATATATATCTGAGAGGTAAAGGAAAAAAACAGATAGTGGGGGAGATTGAGGATTGAGAGAGAGAGAGAGAGAGAGAGAGAGTTCTTATCTGCTAGTTCACTTCTCAAATAACTAACAATGATTGGGGCTGGGCCAGGACTGAGCCTGCAGTCAGAAACTGGGAATTCAATCCAGGTCTCCCCCATGGTTGGCAGGGATCCAACAGCTTGAGCTATTACTCTGCTGTCTTCTAGGTTCTGTCAGCAAGAAGGCTGAATGAGGATCTGGGGCTGAGAAGCAGACCCTGGTACTGCAAAGTGCCACATGCCCTGCTCCTGCCATTTCATGTTAGGGTCAAAGACAAAGGCATGGCTGGGGAGTTCCAGCAAGACTGAGCTGTCTTTGAAAGCCCAGGGCGTGTGCTTCAAGCAGGCAGGGTGGAAGACCAGACTGTCAGGCTTGAGAGCAGCTTCAGAGCTGATGAAGTCCAAGGCCCGCCTGTCCTGGTGAAGACTCTAAGGTCCGACAAGATCGAGGTATCCGCCCAGAAACAGATAGTGTGGGGCAGAGGTGAGGCTGTGATATAGACTTCTGTATTCTCAATTCTACTTTTCTTCCTATTAGATGAAGATAATGCTTCTTCTTTCTCTTAAATAATTATGTATACTAAGCCAGCTAGGCAATTTTACTCCAAATGAATGCATTCCTAAAAATTATAAAAGTATCTTCTAATCTCACTTTTTAAAAGAAGCAATGTATTTAAAGCCCTCCAACACCGAGTGCCCACCAGCAAATAGCAGCTGCTTCTCTTATTGTTTTTATATGCACAGGCCTCTTCTAATGAGTCATTCTGATATATATGCATCTGTTGCTTGAGCCAGGAAAATATGATTTCATTATCTTTAAATACAGCCAAATGATAATTTGCAATGTATAAATTATCTACTTATTGAGCTACACATGATCATGTCCCTTTGTGAATCTTGATTACAATTCTTTCCACCATATCTCTCAGTCAGTTCTGGTAGTAAGGAGCTCAGGTAAATATTCAAAGGAAAAAATAAAAACCTTTAGATTCCTGGTTAAATTTGCTACATAGGTCAATACCCTTGAAATGAAATAGAAAATACTTAAGTCAGCACAAGAGTTGGAAAAATTGTAGATATACTGCAGGTGTACATCTAAGTACATACTGATAGGTGGGAAATACTTAGAATTAAGAGAACAAAGGATTAGAAAGATTTAATTGAAGACTTGTCCAGAGTCACACACCTAGGATGGTCTGGATATAGATGTTTGCACTCATTTATCTCACAAGTGTTATTGAAGTCTTATTATATGCCATCAGCAGGATTCACCTTCTCTCTGAGGCCAAGCTTAGGCTCAGTACCCTGGCCTTTCTGCATTTGGAGGGCTTATGTATATGATTATACTCCTGCACAAGCAGGCATTATTTAGAATGCAGACCAAGCCTGTTTTATTACAGCATTGCAATTGATGGCTAGAATTTAATTGATCTAAAATCTCATTTAGAGAGAGTTTTATTTTGAAATTCTATTTTTCAAATATCCTATTTTTATAATTGCTAAGGATGTTTTAATAAGGAACATTGAGAACAATGCTTTCCTAAACTCAGAGCAACTAATAAGTGGATGGGTCTCCATTCTGCAGATATTTCAACAAATCCTAGAATCCAGCAAGAAGGAGGAAGGTAGGTTAGGAATAGGAATTCACATGAAATAGGACATGCGTGTCCGACTTAATACTAAATTAATATCCTTGTTAACATATCCAGGAGAAACGCAAAAGAAAGGGTTGCTAATCACAATGGCATCAAAAATAGGGAAAAGCTAACATGTGCTTGGGCTGGGAGATTAAGAAGTACAAGGGAAGATCTGTAGATAATTCTGAAATTAATGTCCATAGCAAGACTAAACCTAGTTCCACTTTATGACCTTTTCATTTTCTCAACTTTGACCCCAAGCACCTGCATACTCTTATACTCCTAATCTCTGGCCTGTGAGTCCTGATGGGAACATATTTGTTGGTATCAAGGTATATAACATTCACTAAAATATATTTACTCTTTCAAAAAGGTTAATGAGGGATAATTCTCAACCAAAGGAAGAAATGGTAGAAATCCAGGAGTCTAGCACACCTGTGGGAGAAGAGGTAGTGGGAATTCTCTCCTCTCTACATATCTTCAGTAGATCAATGCCTACCCACAAGGTTTCCTCAGACCACACTTGTGCTTGACTGCAAACCTTGATGAAACATACAGTGTTCAGATCAGATTAAGGGGAACAATGTGTAACTAAGGTGCCTTGGCCAGACATGGTGAACACATCCGGCTATGACTCTCCCAACTGCTACAATTTGGTTTCAAAAATGTCCAAGAAATGAGCTTATAATGCTCTCCAAATCTTTTTGAAGTCAACACATCTGGCCTTTAGTAGTCTATCAGTGGTATATTGGTTTTAAATATCCCTAGTATTGCTATCGTGTAATATTTTATTTTCATGAGTAGATGTCCTGTTGCCCCAACTAAACTGTAAATGGCAGAGACTAGAATGAGGGGGAATGCAGGTTAGAAGAGAGTAGAGGGGACAAGCAGTGTGCCATAGTGGGCTAAGCCACCGTCTGTGATGCCGGTATCTCACATGGTGCTGATTCAACTCTGGGCTGCTCCACTTCTGGGGCAGATCCCTGCTAATGTGCCTGGGAAAGCAGTGAAGGATGACTCAAGTCCTTTGGTCCCTGCCTCCAACATGGGAGACACAGATGGAGTTCCAGGCTCCTGGCTTTGGGTCGGCCCAGACCTGGCTATTGCAGCCATTTAGGAAGTATCAGCAGATGGAAGATCTCTCTCTGTCTCTCTTCCCCTTTCTCTCTTTCTCTTTCTCTGTCTCTCTTTCTCTCTAATTCTTCCTTTCAAATAAATAAATATATCTTTAAAAGAGAGAGAGAGAGAGAGAAAGGTCTTCCTTCCATTGGTTCACTCCCCAAATGGCTGCCACGGCAAATGGCTTCCATGGCCGGCACCGTGCCGATCCGAAGCCAGGAGCCAGGTGCTTCCTCCTGGTCTCCCATGCGGGTGCAGGGCCCAGGTACTTGGGCCATCCTTCACTGCCCTTCCAGGCCACAACAGAGAGCTGGACTGGAAGAGGATCAACTGGGACTAGAATCCAGCGCCCATATGGGATGCCGCTGCCGCAGGCGGGGGATTAACCAAGTGAGCCACAGCGCCGGCCCCTCAAATGCTTACTTTTCCTCCAGATTTATCAAGCTGACCCTCGGTTCACCACACCCACCCACCCACCAGAACCAACCTCTTTAGGGGCCTCCGTTTGGATGAATTCCTCATAAATCTGTTTTGCCTTCTCTGCCATCTTGGCAGGGGACTTGATCTTCTTGTACTCCTCACAAGCAATCCAGAACTCAAGGTTTTCCTCACTGAATTCGGACTTCAGGAAACTTTTGAAACTGGCAAGTCCATCTAGCAAGGAAAAAAGGCAATTGAGGAAATGTGCTAACTTATGTAACAAATACTACACCCACTGTACAGCCTCAGCTTACTTACTATACAAGTATATCTCAGTTATTCACTTACAAACCTGTGAACTCATTTCACCTTCATTACAAACCTAAGAGGCAGGTTAATATTGATATCCCATATTGTAAATGAGATCAGAGAGGTCAGAGACTTGCCCATATATTACCAACTGGTGTCAGAGCTGGGATTCAAACCCAGGCAGTCTGACTCAAGAGCCCATGCTTTTATCCATCATCCTAAACTGCTTCTCAACAGAGGTATGATTCAGCTTCTTGGAACAGAAGCTTTCCAGGAATGGCTGCCTGATTTACTGCACCTGCACAGAGAGGAAAACACAGGCTAGCACAAATGTCATGTTCATGAGAGAACAGGAAAAGACTTACCAATGTCGACCTATGGCAGACTTAGTTAACTTTATTCATAACTGCATTCCCCTTACCCCTTAGTTCTGGTGGAGGAGGGACAGGAGAGAGACGTGGGGAAATGGCAGAGACTCCAGAGCTGCAGCCCTGCTTGTCATTAAGAATCAGAGATCCTGGCCCTGGGCAGAGGGTTTGCCGCATTGTCTTTTTTTTTTTTTTTTCCCCACAGATAGAGAGAGAGAGAGAGAGAGAGAAAAGGTCTTCCTTCTGCTGGTTCACCCCCCAAATGGCCGCTATGGCTGGCGCTGCGCCGATCTGAAGCCAGGAGCCAGGTGCTTCCTCCTGGTCTCCCACGTGGGTACAGGGCCCAAGCACTTGGGCCATCCTCCACTGCTTTCCCGGCACACCGGGATTAGAACCCGGTGTGCCGGCACCACAGGCCGAGGATTAGCCAAGTGAGCCACGGCGGCGCCAGCTGCCACACTGTCTTTTAAAACACCCGAATATATTTAGGTAATGAATGCTTACCTAGTTATGTGTCAAGGAACGCTACTCACACCAACTACTGAAGAGGGAAATACACATTTAAAACTTGCATTGTCTGTGTACGCAGTAGTGACATCAAGGATCACGCACACATTCCAAACAGGTGTTTTTATTTTTCTTCTATGGGTGATTTTTGAACAACTACTATGTTTCAGGCACTATGAAAAGGAAAACAGATGGTTCTGTCCTGATGGAGCTTATGGATTCTGAGGGAAGTAGAGAGAAAATGAAGAGACACACAGAAGATTTACAAATACACAAAGAAGGGAAAACTATTTGAAAGACAGTCATAGATTCATTGGGGAAGAGGGAGTCCTAACTTCATTTTAGGCTTGAGGAGAGTGAGGAAGTAACATTCAACTTGAGACCTGAAGGGGGAGTAGGAAGGCATTAATGAAATCAGCATGTGAGGGTGCTTGCTATGTACATCAGCTGCACACCAGGATTTTTTTTTTTAATTTATTTATTTATTAACTTGAAAGGCTGAGACACAGAAGCAGAGAAACAGAGAGGTCTCCCATCTGCTGGTTCGCTCCCCAGTTGGCCACAATGGCCAGAGCTGTGCCGATCGGAAGCGAGGAGCTTCCTCCACATCTCCCATGTAGGTGCAAGGGTCCAAGGACTTGGGCCATCTTCTACTGCTTTCCCAGGCTTTGGCAGAGAGCTGGATTGGAAGAGGAGCAGCCGGGACTTGTAGCAGCACTCATATGGGATGCCGGCACTGCAGGCAGCAGCTTTACCTGCTATGCCACAGCGCTGGTCCCTGCACATCGGTTTTTAGAACATCAGATTTACTACAACTGTTGTGATTCTGTTTTCCGTGTGTTACTGCTCACGCATAGAAACTTCAGTTAATAGAATAGCTAACGGTAATCGGTAGGAGTGAAATTAACATTTTGAGACTCAATGATTACATCCCTTGCCTCAACTGTTGAGGGACAGCGTGTTTTTCTTCATGCCATTTGTTGAACTCTTTACTTAGCCTAGAGTTAATTTTTTGTCATTATTCTTATTAATTTGTTTTTAAAAGTTTTGATTAGCATGAGATAATTTTGGGGTACAGTGTGACATTTCAACTGATATGCACAGCGTAATCCAAAAACCATCCTAGGCGATTGGCCCTTCACTTTTTTCATTGTGAGCTATCATTACTCTACTCTCCTGTGGAACACCAGAACCCATTGCTTGCACCCAAGTACAGTGCTGACTGCCTCTGAATGAAGTTAGAAGGAACATCCAGATAGCCTTGGCTTGCTTCTTCCCCTTAAGGTAATCTACTTCTCCATGAAGTAGCCCCTTTCTATTCTTTTTTTTTTCTCCTCTTTTAAAATTTTATTTAAGTTACACAACTTTCATATAAGGTTAATCTTATGAGTATAAAGCAAACTGAAAATAGATCTTTGTAAAAATTAAGAATGAGAATAGGAGTGGGAGGAGGAAAAGGGGGAGGGTTGCAATGGGAAGTATTACTATGCTTCCTGAATATGTATATAGGAAATACATGAAATCTGTATACATTAAATAAAATTTTAAAAAGGAAACTTCAGTTAATCATTTTAAGAAACAGAGCCAGTGTTGTGGCATAGCAGGTAAAACAGGTGCCTGTAGTGCTGCCATCCCATGTGAGTGCCTGTTTGAGTTCCTGCTGCCCTACTTCCAATCCAGCTCCTACTAACATGACTAGGAAAGTAGCAGAAGATGGTCCAAGTGCTTGGGCCCCTGCACCCACGTGGGAGACCCAGAAGAAGCTTTTAGCTTCTGGCTTGAGATCAGTCCAGCCCTGGCTGTTGTGGCTATTTGGGGAGTAAACCAGAGGCTCGAAAATGGATCTGTCTCTCTCTCTCTCTCTCTCCCCCCACCCCACTCTGTGTGTGTGTGTATGTGCCCCTGCCTCTCCTTTTCTGTAACTCTTTCAAAAAAAATCTTAAAAAATAATAATAATCTTACAAAGCATATATATAATTTGTATACATATTATATATATGTATATATATAAAATATGAAGATTCTTGGGCTGATCCTTTTTTTTTTTTCTTTTCTACTCTTCTAGAACTGACTCTCTGAAGTGTGGATGAGTAAAAAGACTTTGAAGATAAATAAAAGGAAATACCTTAATCTACACTATTTTCCTGCTATTTAATACTGACCATATACATCTTTTTATACCAAAACCCTAACAAATGTGCATTAATATGGAGATAATCCACATCAGTCATCCAAGGAAAGAAAGGATTTGTAAAGGGAGGAGAGAGAACAAGTAGTTTTCCACAGGCTGCATCAAAATCACAGGCCTCCCCTCAGTAACAGTGCTGGCTGGCCACTTTGCCTCCCGCGGCAGAAGACAGGACTGGCTGTCACCTGGATATAAGGGCTTCGTTTCCCTCTGAATTGCTCCCACCAGGAGACACTTCTGTAATATATTAAGTTCTGCTTAGGGAACATATTCATGTTCTGAATTCATTTTCTTTGACCTAATTTCAATCTATTTCTGTTTTTCTTGAACATTTCTCCCTGAGCCTTTTTACAGACAAACTTTTCATCATTGGTCATTGCCTGATATCTGGATTTCATGCAACAGGCACAAAACATATGTAAAGATTAAATTGGGTATATGCCTTCCGTTTTCAATTTACCCTCTATACTTTTTTATTTATTTTATGCTCTTCATGGTACCCTGCAATAATATTTAATTCTGGAGAAAAACAATGGCCAAGTGATAATTAGCTTAGATTAAGGTTACCATGGCTCAGGATACAAATGAGACAATTCATAATTTAATCTAATTTAATCTTCTTTCCTTGCATTTTTACCCTAAAAACATTTCAATTGATCAACAACTAAAAACATATCTCGGAACAATGATAAGCCTGATAAGCAATTATCTCTAGAAGACTGAGTGGAGGACTGCTTATGGAGGGGGGTGCAGTATTGTGCTGCATCAGGTTAAGCCCGCACTTACAATGCTGACATCCATGCACTTCTGATCCAGCTCCCTGCTAATATGCTTGGGAAATCAGCAGAAGATGGCCCAAATGCTTGGGCCCCTGCCATCCCTGTAGGAGACCTGGATGGAGTTCCAGGCTTCCACTTGGCCCAGCTCCAGCCTTTGAGGACATTTTGGGTGTGAATCAGCAGATGGAAGATCTCTGTCTCACTTTTTCTCTCTTGTGCTGTCTGTAACTCTGCCTTTCCAATAAACAAATAAAGATTTTTTAAAAAATTTATTTGACAGATAGAGTTAGACAGTGAGAGAGAGAGGCAGAGAGAAAGGTCTTCCTTCCGCTGGTTCACCCCTCCAAATGGCCACTACAGACGAAGCTACGGGGATCCGAAAAATAAAGATTTTTTTTTTTTAAATTGATAATATGGACCTGGATAAAATCAGCTATAACTTATTTTTCTTGCTACCCATATTTCTACTCTATTTCTAGCACTATCTGTCATAACTTGATGAGGCAGGAATCAACATATATGTTGGAAAAAGAAATAAGGTCAATTTTTCTTTCTGTTATGGTTAAAGTTTTCATTGTTTCTTAACCAAAATGTATCAGGCAGTCCCTGTTGAAATGGAAAAATTCTCAGGCCCTTTCTAGTTGCTAGGAGGTGAATCCTTTGGGTTCTCATACAGCTGGCTTGAAGACTGTAGAGGAAGAAATAATTCCACAGAGCAATTGCTTGGAAAATGTATTCTCATTAGCCCCATATTCCTACAATCTGCGCAATACCCTGAATCACTCATGCTGTATCTTCATAAAATATAATGGTAAAATCCTAGTCCTCCAAGCATTACTTATGATATGAGGACTTGTGCCAATATTCCACAACAATATTAGCATTTCCTACCTATCTAGGTCATGATCTTGGAAAACAACTTCCCAGCAGTACAGTGAGCCCATTTCCTGGGAACTGGTTTCATCAATCTCATTGAATTCCACACTATTATTTCAGGGCTTTTTTTTAATGTATACTTTTTAAGCCAAGACTCATAACATTACTTCATTGGTCTGAATGATTTTTTTTTATTTTTTATTTTTT